CCGATAAGATGGCATGTAACCACGATATACTTTTTATTCTTCCATGAGTCAATTGCACTGTTCTATAGTTTAAAAAACCCACACTCAAACAATAATAGCAACGTATCTGGTGTGACCGATTCAACATTATATGATACATTTTCTGCCTGTAGATATATTTTTAATTGATATGATACACCTGTCAATGGTTCAGTTGCTGTTTTAAAGACTCAGAGACGTGCACCAGCGATATTAGATTTCTTGTTTCGATGCCAGTAGTCATTTTATACTTTGTACTCACATTTCTGAAACATAGAACTGATGTTATTTTTGCTGTCTGTTATCAATATGTCTTCTCCATTTACTTTTGAAGAGGGCATGATTATATTGTGCGGCTATCGGGCCGGAAATCTCCCTGTATTCGCCCATCAAGAAGAAAGTGACATGGGGTAATTTCTTACCCAGGAATATAGAATCAAATAACAGAATATAAGGTTACTGAATATTTATTTATAGTAAACAGGACTTTTATTTCACTTATAATGAGTTGATATTGCATGAAACATATATATCTAATCCTTTTTTATTGGAAGGGAGGTTTGTTGCATTTGAAGCATGCATTTGTCCTCTGAACTTGGTCACACACTTCATTTCTTATTCAATTATTTTTGGTTTCCTCGTTCGTTAGTTTGTTTTTTTATCGGAGTGCGCGGTGGACAACATCAAGAAAGTTTTCATGGTTGTACATGGTTTATTGAAGGGGGCAGACAAACTTAAATACCTTCATTCATACACGCCCACAGGGATATTTCGTTATCCCAACGTACCTGTAATTTTCTTTACAAGAGTGCTAGACGATCAAAAGCACATGCGATAGACGAACCCTAGCATCAAAAGAGAATACACAAGTTTTCACGCTCGTGAACTTTCATTCGCGAAAACTCCCAGCGAAAAACGAATAACGGTGGCAACATATTACCTTTGTATCCATTTGAACGTTAAAAACATTTAATTTAATAGCTTTTTATTTATAATGGCCTTAGGAATTTACACACTAGTGCATTAGTAATTTGGGGCAACTTCAAAATAAAAAGGGCACTTTAGTGACATTTTAAAATCTGGTAGCTCTTTTATTACTTGCTTGGGAAAAATAATTTATAAAGCAAATTTATAGATAATTTTATGACCTTTAAAATTGTACAAAAACGTTTTGCATTTTGGCTACCAAAACTCTTCCCGAAATATTTCGTGGTGGAACACGTAGAATTTTCTTTCTAATAAAAATATAAACAAATAAACAATAAAATATTCTACCTCATCTTTTGCAAGGTAAAATGACTTATCGACTGCACTATCATGTCACATGTAAAGTTCTTTGTGTAGCATATGGCGTCCGAACGTCCTGTCTTTATTCGCATTCATTGGGTATTTTCAGCAGAAGCATGTTTAGTGCTCCTCTTTTCCTTCTTCTGACACTTTGTTTACAAGCCTTTGTTCCTGTTTGTGCGTTCGTGTCAAACTGAACAAACATAAGTTTTAATGAGTTGGGGAAAAGCGGCCGTCAGCATTAGGCTGTTCTTCTCTTTCACATCTCTCTATCCACGTCGCGGACGTGATTAAAAATGTTACTTCAGTGGCGATTAAAGAACATTGCCGTGTAGTCAAGTTGGTAGCCCTCTCCTTCCTTGCTCTCCATGCGTAGAGAAAACACTTACAAGAAACGAGGTGTATATGGGAAAAAGGAAAGGGAGAGAAAGTGAGCCGTCCTTAGATTGAATTACGCAAGTCAGGTTTCTGTTGTCTCTTTCAAGGAAAGCATAGCATTGTGAGATAGTTAAATTGCATTACCATGAGTACTTTAGAAATTGATTTTCCTGGTCTACGGTATTCATGATCGTGACTTTCTTTAAATCCTAAAAGCAACCGCATTCTTTAATGCTACGCGTACTACGAAACATTTTTTTCTACAGCCATATACAGAAGACATGTTTTCAATTATTAAACATTGAACATTTCATTATTTTACATATTTTTCGTTGTTTACAGACATGGTATACAAGGAACAGTCAGAAACTAATGCCTCTAAATTTTTTGGTAACTTATTCGAAAATTGTGATAATTCAAATTTTACACGCTTCGTCAAATCTTCTTGAACCTTTCTTGGCAGTAACAGTGTTATCATTCAAACCGTGGTATCTCTGTACATTCATGCAAAATGACTACCATCGATGTGCGGTTAAAGCAGCGTGCTGTAATTGAATTCTTGAATTCAGAAGGCCAGTCACCTAGAACCATCCAAGACCTAGGCATCCAAGAACGTTTAAAGAAGTTTTATGGATATGCTATAGTGGATGTTGGTACTGTTCGGCGGTGGGTTCGACGCTGCAGAGAAGTCGGAGACGACGAACCACACATAGCGGTGACTGCGGAGAATATCCAGCGCGTCAATGACATCATTCTAGAAAATCGCCGGGTAACCACAAGTGAATTGTGTTCTTTAATGTCAATAGAAAAAGGTAGTATAATAGCTATCATTGAACATTTGGGTTATTCAAAAATTTGTGCTCGTGTGGTACCCAAAACACTGACACAATCTAATAAAAATGCAAGCAAAACAATAGCCTCAGATCTCTTGCATCGTTATGAGATTGAAAGTCAACAGTTCTTTCCAAAAATTGTCACAAGTGATGAAACATGGAATCATTTTTTGAACCACAGACAAAGAGACAGTCCATGGAATGGCGCCACTCCACGTCACCCCGAAAAAGAAACCCAAAAGTGCACCCTCTGCACGGAAAATTATGGCTACTCTTTTCTGGGACGAAAATGGAGTGATTCTTGTGTACGTTTTGGAGCAGGGAACAACAATTAACTCCAATTGAAACGTGTAAATGTTAATGAAACTTAAAGGTCACCTCCGGAGAGTACGTGCTACGAAAAGGCAGTCTGACATTCGTCTTCTCCACGATAATGCAAGGACACACACTTCTCACAACTGAAACAAGTGCAGAATTCCAGTAGGAGGTCCTTCCCCACCCACCATACAGTCCAGACCTTGCTCCTTCTGATCAAACTCGCATGGAGTCAGATCCGTTTAATTTGGTCGGTGTTCCTGTACTTCTCGTTCCCAGCAATGGGGATACCTTTGTACAGTTGCTACTGTATGAGATCTTGTGTTATCGTGGAAAACAATTCAATTAAATGATGTATTTTATGTGGCGGACTTAGACCATCATCCTGCTATCCCGTGTGACCATACAAATTTCGCTACGCTCCATTCAGCCCCTATCGGAGAAAGAAGATATCATGCGGGGGACGAATCATGCAATTTCAATTTAGCTCGGAGGCATAGTTTTGGCTTGAACATTTACATGCAGTAAATCTACAACATGGGCCAGCCAGCTCTACTTCCCCCCTAAAGAAGTCGTAAGAAAGATTTTTTTCGTCCTTGAAAATCCACGACTTCGATCAGTTTTGAACCCTCAAACTTGGAGTAACTGGTCAATACGTTAACCGTTATAACGACAAAGCCACCAGCTTTGGCTTTGTTTTGGCATTTTTGCCATGTAATACATGCGATATTGCAAGTCTGCAAATGTTTGATTGCTGAAATGTTGCTGCCTATCTCGCAGCCCGAGGTAAGGTAGGGACTTCTTCTCGACGACCTTCACAATATTTCTGAAGCATTCTCTGCTGTGTCTATTACGAAGGCTGGCAAATTTGATGTACGCAATCCGTTCTTAGCGCGAGACATTCATTATGCACGACACCTTACTAATGCAATAAAATAGCCCTGTGCCCCGTAAAAGTAGAAGGGTCTGTCGTCTTGAACGTGTTCCCGTATTGCAATTTCCATGCTCTCCTCGACGTATGATATTTAATGTTCTCACCGTTCTATTGTAAGAAGAAGTAGTTTTCAAGACTTATGCCAATGTTTTTACACCTTATTTTTTGTGAAAAATTTACAAAATGTCGTAGTCATAGATGCAGGGACAAGACAGACAAGACGGACAGGGTGACTTTTGAAAAATATTTCTTTTTTTGCATCAAAGACCCCCAAAAATGTATTTCAGACAAAATCATTAGAACGGAATTTTCTGTATTAGTTATCTTTCTTTATAACATATATACAACTAGTGTATGAAAATGTAAAACGCTTTGGAAAGATTTAGTTAAAACAAAGGAAAACCTACAGAAAGAAGTCTTTGAAAAGATAGTGTTAAGAATGGAAGGATTCCAGAGATGGGAAGCACTGTAATCGATAAAAAAAATAATAAATACTACGAGAGAATGACATAATATTGAAAAGAGAGGAAGACACACCGTCAAAGAAGAAGAATAGAAATCAGCACGTTGTTTCTAGCGGGTCTAAAATGAAACAGAAATGATACAACGAATGCTACAAACATTGATAACAACCCGAATTGTTTTCTGTATTATATAACCCTGACTGACATTGAAGAGGCCACTTCGCAACGAAGAGAGACTGCCACGCCGCCTTCTTGCGATTCGACTGCTTGAAAACGCATTTCTCGGAGAGGCGATCGGCCTTGCCCCGCACTGCCCCGGAGCGGCCCTCGTTGGCATGCGCTAGTCGTGGGGCGGGCGCGGCCCCACGGCGCCTCATTATCGGCGTTTTTCTCAAGTGACACCTGTTGCGCGCCGCCCTCGCCGAGGGAGTGCCGGCTTAAACCCACGTCGGCCGACCGGCTCCGGCGAACATCGCAGGAAATACAATCTCCTGGCGCACCTGCATGTCGATACGACGGGCTAACGACCAGTGTTGAAATTGCACATACTTTCTTGTATTACTGGCAAAGTTACGTAATGTTACAATATTATAGTACTATTTCACTTGTCTCTTGGAAAACGCTTTTCATCAGCCGAAGCCCAGGATATACCATCAACTAATTCTTTAATTATTAGATCTTTACATTATATATTTTACAATGGTTTTCAAATTATAATGGTATCGGGTTACTTTTAGTTGAACTGTATCAAAGTTTTCAAAAATATGTTAATTAGAAGTTCCCCAAAAACTGCATCAAACCTTTTGTGCAGAAGATGTTCTGAAAAAAATGAAATAAGCACCATACTTGATAGAGATTTGAATTGTGAGAAACTACACTGTTGTGAAATATTTTTTTCGCTCTCTCTCTTTCTCTCACTCACTCCCTCTCACTTACTCTCGCTCCCATTCTCACTTTCACTCACTCACTCTCTCTCACTCTCTCATTGCATTAATTTTAATTTTACGAAAATTATGTGTGTATATATAGATATTTTCAATAATCTCTTATCAACTCTTATCAAGTTTTTAGAAATTTCTGAAGTTTTATGGGACAACTATACTCAAAATAGAGCCTCTCTGCACTCAAAATCGACTTCAAATTGTTTCCTGAAAATTTTCATATGAAATGATCCTTTTACACGCTATTAAACACGTCTAAATTTATTTATTCTATTAGGGGACCTAAAATGGAGAAAATGTTTAAAAAATTACACAACACTTACGATAGAAGTAATACAGAAAACAAAACTATATTATCATGTTAATTGAAAATGTCTGTAGATATTGTATTTCACATCTTCTTCTGTAGAGTTAGCTACTTGGCAAATACGTTTATTAATGAATGTAAGGATGCACGTTTTAAATCTAAACATATTTGCGAGTAATGTTGCCACAATAATTAATTCTATTTAATATTATTCATATGCACAGATTGTGTGTTGGCAGGCACTTAATTAGCTATTTCAATAACAAAGAGTTATATTTTCTTTAATAAGCATGTTTTAGAAGGCACTAAAGAATGGAGATTGTGTGTTGGGTAGAGTTGTACAGTGGAGAGGTGGGACAAATATCTTAAGCGGTCACAATTAGAAAATGCTCATTTATACAGGTGAACACTTTATGAGGAAGCTTACCCGAAAGTAAGTATCTACGTCTAATTTTGCTATTTGTTATGAAGGTAAGTATTATTTGCTTATTGGATAAACAATTACCTGAAAAGCTACACTCTCACTTACAGAGTTACGTCTGAAACGCTTACACTTGCGACTACATTGCGAGTATTTAATGTGCGAAATGAACATGGACACTGACCGTGGTGCCAGGTGGCCGCTTAAAATAAGGAAACTTTACGTCTGTCTGAGGACACAATTAATCGTTTCCTCGAAAGTACGTCTTCTAATATGGTTAAATAAGGTCCAGAATGTTTGCAATATAAATATGAGACTTTTAGGTAATCACTTAAGATAATACGAGGCAGTTCCAAACATGTTTTAACACTATTTTTAAAAGTTCTGTCACTTGGAGTTTCCAACAAATATTTGCAATAAACGTAGAAAATATGAGTTTTTTATTGTAATAAATCTGCTTGAAAGAAAGAAAGGAGGAAAGAAAGAAGGAAGGAAAGAAAGAATGAACAAAAAAGAAGTCAGAAAAGAGATTTATGTAAGCAATTAAATGGCTATCACAAATTTAAAAGAATTGTCAACTACGTAAATGCATTATCGTGAAGAAATAAACCCATGGCTGCAGGATGCGACAGAGACAGTAGAGGTTTGAAGAAGGTCAGAAAATTGATTTTTAGTTGCGATTAATTCAGCAAATCTTCTAGACCTCAACTCGTCTCTAAACTTAGTTCTCCCATGTATTGTACTAGAATAACGAAGTTTTCGAATTTCCAGACAAAAAGTCTTCACCAGGGCATAATCTTGTTTTGGTCGGTTTGAGTGGGGAGAGTTAAAAAAAAGATCATTCTCCCCAGAGACACGGCTTCGTCCGTATCTTTCCCTTCGTCTTTCTGCCTCTACGAAAGCCTCCAAGGGCAGAAAGGATTCCCGAGCCCGAATTAGGACAAGACGCGGCAAACCCGTCAATAATGTACCTCCACCGACCGAAGACGAAGAGTGGAACTACCGAGCTTCGAAGGGCGAGGACGGTGTTTCTGCGATCATTAATGATGAAACAGACTGTCAGGAGCGTTGAAAGCGCCTCTCTCCAAGAAGAAGCCGGTACTGCAAATAACTGTGTATGTTTGCTACGAAAGTTCAGGAAATCTGAATATTGCCTTCAATAGAATGTGAGTTGATACATCGCAATTTAATTGAGAGAGACGTAATTATAAACAGTTTTAAACTCTAGACAATTTTCTTAGTAAACGTGTGGTCGATGCTATAACACCCTCTACCAAGAAAATTGATTATTTCTTAAAAAGGGATAAAATCAGTGTTTAACACCGATGGGAGATGGTCAATGACACACACCCGTGATTACCTTCAAACTTTGTTGTTTGTTTGAAGTCACTCTTTCAGTGTTTCCGGCTTTCATTATTAGTATCTAAGCAATTCTATTTTAGCCTTTGTAGACGAAGAGAAGAGTTTGCATTTGCAGCAACGTAGTGAATGATAAACTACATCTTCAAGAAAGGACGTGTGTGTCCCCCTAGAAAGGACCGTAAGAAGAGTCCACGATATGAGAAACAGTACTCTAGTATTCCGTTTGGCACTGGTTAAGGTCGGATGGGCGCTGACCGCGAGTAACATGAATCCTCTTACTCTGTTTCACAACCAAAACCCATCATTGAAAGACGAAATCACATTATATAAGGGGAAGTGAATTGAGAAAATTAAAAAAAAAGTTGCTTCCTGCATACTTTATTGTCATAGGAATGGTAGGAGATGAAATGCTATTGTAGTTAGCATAAAGTCTGAAAGTGACTTGAAAAATGATATATTTTTGGTTGCATTTTAACTGTTATATGCCGACCATAGTGAAACCAGTTGGGAAACGAGTTTGTATCGGTGAGCTGAATAAGGGTCAACAGTTCGTGTGAAGATCAAGTATCTACTGCCTACGTACATGAATGTGCCGGTTCGTGAGTCTGTTGTACTGTGGTGAGCTGAGCCATACCGAGGTGTTTGGTATTTTGTCTACCGTGTAACTGATGAACTGCCTTACAGTGTGCAATTTGATTGTTGTAAACCAATGCTGAAGAAACTGTCATTTTGTATTTCATTTCTGAACATACACTAAAGCTCTGATAATTTATGATCGGGTGCAATTGCTGCGTCGCGCGGAAAATACAAATATTACTTGTAATTTGCACACCAATTCCGTCAATTCAAAAATATTTTCCTTCTTTTACATCCACTTTTTTTAATGACATTGATATGAGGCATTAAAGTAATTTGCAAATCTTCTGCATTGGCTATATCTACTGATGGTTAAGAATCTCTTTCTCTCTCTCTCTCTCTCTCTCTCTCTCTCTCTCTCTCTTTGTCTCTCTCTCTCTCTCTCTTTATCTTTCTCCCTCTTTTCCTCTTTTCCCTTTCCCTCTTTTCCTCTTTCTCTTTTTCTCTCTCCCTCTTACTTTTTTCTTTTCTCTCTTGCTCTTCAATATTTATCTCTTTCTGCACTACGCACAAAGAATGGAATACATTGCCTCCTTTGAATAATTGTTGATAATCCTTTGTACCCTTTCCTCGTAGAGTACAACAGTTTAGGAAATTAATTTAGGGTATTACTAAATAAATGAACGACTTAGCTGACAACACTAGGTCATAGAGCAATGCGTAAATAATATATTGCGAAGTGAGGTGTCGTGCATTGTATAACAGAGAAATAATGTAGGAAGTGAATAAAGGGTCACTTGCTGTATTATCTTATTTATGTAATTAGCTGCCACCTGCCCATTTGCAGTTCAAATAAACTTATCTTATCTTATTTATCTTATCACACACGCCGCTACCACCGCCACATCCAAAGAAAAACACATGCACAACACTAACAGCACTAATGACCTTAGGAGTTGACGCGCCCGGAATGAACAACAATCAATTAATGTGTTTCCCTGCCTCTCCTCTCTCTCTCGGTATATATAT